ATTTTCCGTTTCTTCTGCTTAAGTGTAAGTTGTCCAGAACTTTGATGTGATGGCCGACCATCAGCAAAAGCCTGCCATCAAAAGCTATGCTAAGCCAAATAACTCAATCATGCATTCATATAAATTGAAGCAATATGTTATAAGGACCAATTTGGATTGTGAACATTTTTCCATTTTTATAAGAAACATTCCTTCACAACCATAAAAGAAAGAAAACATGAGGGATAAGACATCCTTGTGAGGTCAACCATGATAGCATCAACCACCTGCAATTGGTAGATGATGAAATCCTTCAAAGCATGAAAATTAGGTTGTGACTCCCTCCCATGTAAAATCTGCCACTCACAAAATTTGACCTTCTTTGCAAGTGGCAAAAGTAGAAGTAACCTCAGTCAGAGAAGTGACCGACAAAATATCTAAAAGGGGTCAAGAGGAGGAGCCTCTCAAAGGATCAGGAGACCAAGTTCTAGAGTCTCTTCTCCCCAGAAAAATACATTGGTCTTGCAAAAGGGAAAGAAGAACATCAGTCGGCTCTCTATCAAAAAAGGACAACTGAAGCCCAAGGAGATCGAAGAAGAATCAGACAGAGAAGGCAGAATTGAAGCCACTGAAAGTTTGTTCTACTAAGAGAGGTGACATAAACGAGGAAATATCTCCCAAAAATAAACATTCAAGCCTTCTCCAGGGAACCATCTAATAAACTGAGAGAAGAAAGGGAATCCATAAGTGATAGCTTTCGAAAGGTTTTTCCTAGGCCCATAGATCAAACCACAGTTTGCCACACACTCAAAAGGGTGCGGGTCATATCTGCTCACAATAACTTTGTACCATAAAGCATCAAGCTGCATGACGAATCACCACGACCACTTAGCTAACAATGTATCATTATGTAATCTCAGGCTCTGGATCTCTAATCTTCCTAATTACATTGACTTCACCATTAACTCCCCAAATGTGACCCTCCCCCACGGCCTTTTTGTACGAGAAGTTCCTTATCACTCTCAAAGAGACTTACGAATAACAAAATTCTAAACAGGGACAAGAAGTAGATGGTAATAACACTCAATCAAACTTTCTGAAATATTCCATGATATTTGAACAGAGTACAAGAATTTAAAACAAAAACAAAATTAACTTATCAAAAAATAAAACAAAACAATAATTGAACAACTCTTTTTTTATAAGATACAGTTTCATTGATGATTGAAATTTATAAAAGGGATGCCATGATGTTTACAAACAAACCTTCCCAATTAACAAAGAGGGAGGTATAACGGAATGACTTTTGAAAATTGACCCTGTGGGAAAGGGCCCAACCACATTTCGCACAAAAGCACACCCAAATGAATTATTATTAATACCAGAGTACGGCCTTTCCAACCACATTTTGCACGAAAGCACATCCAAACAGCAGCTCCCCTGATATTTGAAATAAAAATTAGAAACCTACAATACTCGAAAAGACAAAGGTTGCAGAATATAGGACAATGGAAATGAAGGATTGAAAATTGTGAGGGATGGAAAGGAAATCCAACCACTTTTTGTACATGAGAAAAGTAATAATTTCGTTGGACACAAAGATAAAGGTGAGAAGTCAAACTAGGTTCGTGGCACGCAAAAAAATAACCAAAAAAAAAAACCCTCCCTGTAATGCCCAAAGAGATGCCATTTAAAAATCATCCTGAATAACTTCCACAAGAACATTTAAAACATATATAAACCATAAAAGATGCACACAAAAAGAATATCAGTGTAACAAATAAAAAGATGCCATAAATCTTACCCATCTTCTGAGATACGTAGGGATAAGGCCCGTTCCCCTGAATCGCCACCTTTGCACTGGCACCAATTTGATACAGAATTAATCAGGGCATGACATAAAATTAAAATTTTGAAGATTTTAAATAAATCAAAACTACCTCGTTTCACTTAGAAGTTTCAAGTTTATAACCAATAGATGAAGGCAACAAGTTAAACCAATTTATTGGAACCAAAACGAAAAAATAATATGTAAAGCCAGTTCCAGCAATAAGTAGGAAAGACATTAGTCGAGACTTTCAAACAATTTCCTAAATTTTTCTTCGTCCAAACCGTTACCATTCCAAGTTCCCTTACTATCGTTTAAAATCTCAAGCACAGTGTGTCTAAAAAAAAGTGTCCGCAATTGTATTGTATGTGGATCTATCTGTTGCGAAGTGTTTCTTCATCACCTCCATACTAAGATCATCTCCAAGTACCTCTTGAGAAATGCAAAAAATGACCGTAAAATTTGCAAGCTAACCCTGTTAAAGTAGTTGCACCATGGTTTCTTTGATCATGGTCATCTTGCAATGAGAGAGCCTATACAAAAGATGATACCACAAAGCTAGCATAGTGTTGTCGATCCAAGGGTTAATCTAGAAAAATGTGTTTCCTCCATCACCCACCCTATGGCGAACGCAGTTGGTGATAAGGTTTTAATGCTTTTTTACAGTGATAAGGTTTTAATGCTTTTTTACAGACTTACATTGCCCCTTTACAAAAGGTGGGGAGGGATCGATTAGTACAGGATGTAGAAGCGTATTTAACCTTTATAAGATTCCTCCAAGAGGTGGTGGAGGAATCTCCATGGCCCCTTTGGATCATGTTTTCCTACATTGTTAGTTTGCTCATAGATGTTAGCCATTCCTTTAAAGCTACTCAAGTTTTCGATTTGCCCCCTTAGTGTGAGGATGCCTTTAGAATTTGTGGCTAAGGTTGGTTCTACCCAACTACTTTCAAGTTACGCAGTCCGAGCACTTCCGGGGATGCAAGTTGGAAAGAAATCGCAGGAGTTCTGAACATAAGTAATCTGTTTTCACTAATTTTTAAAATAATATAAAGCTCATTGCTTTTTGGTAGTACGGTAAAAATAGCAAAAAAATTTGTAATTATTGTCTCTCGATGATCCTTCAATATTGGAAAGCCTTCTTGTGATTAAATACTTTAAAGGGGGAGTTTCTCTTACACTACCCCTAGGCTGTCTTTTTGTTTTTTCATCAATATATCTTCAGGTTTCTTATAAAGAAAATCTTTTAGAAGCTGAAAGCTGTTTTCACTTCTACAAATTGGATAAATATCCCAAGATAGCATAAAGAAGCTGATATTAGAAACCCAATACCATTGGACAAAGCAAGTGGTTGGTCTGCCCAGGAACACAAAATTCAGCATCAATGTCAAGTTCCTGCAACTTTTTCTTCAGAATATTCAATCGAGTCAAGCTTAAAGCCTCGGCTAGTGGATTCTCCATAAATGCTGCACGAAAAAGAGATGCAAAATATCGTTAAAACTAAACAAACATCAAGTCAAGACATTGCCAGCAAACTACTTTGCTGTCTTAAAAGTGAACTGAGTTCTTTCTTGTTAAAAAATCTCTTTCTAGTTGCTTTAGAAGGATTAGGAGATTCTCTAGAAGAAATATGGGGTTCTGTTTCTGGTGACAACATGCTATGGGGTGGCAGTCCCGTTTATGGGGTCAAATATTAGAATATCAATCTCAATCCCATCAATCAAATCGCTTTTTCAAGAAATACAAACATAGCCTCTCCAAACCACCCAGCCAGGAAACATCAGGTTGCTCCAAGCCTAACTACAAGCCTAACTACGAGTCTAACTACAAGCCTAACTACGAGTCTAAAATTACAAGCCTAACTACGAGTCTAATTACAAGCCTAACTACAATTCAAAAACCCTAAACAGCTCAAAAACGATTACCTGGAGGTCTGGGAACATTGGCATGAGAAGTGAAAGAAGAAACCCCATTTGGTTTCATGGAAAACGCCTTGCCACGGGACATGGGTCGTACAGGAAATGAACCATGAAGAACAGAATTGCTTTTGTACAGGAAAAACCTCTGCGAAGAAGAAGAAGAAGAAGAAGAAGAAGAAAGGGGCGACAGGAATAGCAGAGAAGACGACTTGCATAAATTAAAGGAACCCATTAAATAAAATGAGGAGGAAAGGGAAGAGAGCTTGGAGAAGGAGCTACAGAGACACTGATTGTGATGAAGAAAACGCATGACTGGGTTGATGGGGCTAGTGTAATCGCCTGGCTATGGCTTCCATTTCCCTTTCTACAGAGTTAACATAGTGGGTAGAGAGTGAAGAAAGCAGAAGGCCATTAATATTGAATGTTGGTGAAGAAATGAAGGAATTAATGGGTGTGCGAAGCGCAGAGTGGCTCTTGGCTGCTGAAACTCTTCGGCTTCGTGCGCTATGAAAATCCTAACCTTTCTGCCGCCGCTTGCTTACGAACACAAATGAACCCGACCTCGAAAGGAGAAGCGCTCTGCTCTGCACAACTCGCGCCTGCGGGATTATTTTCCCTGTGAAATTCAAACCAAAATATCATTCGCTCATTTCACCTGAGCTAAATTAATTAATATATATATATATATATTTCTACCATTAATATTTTATTTCAAAAACAACTTATGACTTAAAAAACAATTAAAAAATATATTAATTTTTTTCTTTTTGAAAATCATTAGTTTCAAAAAAATATTCTTTAAAAAATTTTAATTTTATTAACTTCAAAAATACTTTTAAATTTTTTTAAAAATTTAAAAATATATTTACAGTTATTTAAAAAAAATACTAATCAATTTTTTAAACTAACTTTAGAATGTGTAGATCATTAAATATATATTTCAATTTTTTTTTAAAAAAATTGAAGGGTAGTAATTACATTTTTAAAAATTCAAGATATTTTTAAAATATTATTAGGAGTTTTTTCCAAAACTAAATTATTTTTTAAATTTTTTTAAAAAAATTTATTTTGTCATTTTCAATTATTTTTATTTAATTTAATTAAATAATTACCTTTTATTTAAAAAAAAAAAAAACAAAATTATCTTCTTTTTTTTTTTAATTTTAACATTATTAGGACCTTTAAAATGGTTATTAGTAGAATTCAGTGAATTAATAAAATATATTTTTACCAAAAAAAAAAAAAAAAAACTCATTTTTACAAAAGGACGCCAATTGAGCCCTTAATCCTGCAACGTCGCATAAAACCTGGTGTTAGCGCGTTGCTAGAAAACCCATTTCAATGGCGGGAAGAATCTTAGTCAGAGCTTCTGCATTTCGCCGGTTGATTTCAACCTCAAATCTTACCTTCTCGTTTCAGAGAGTCCACCATGTTGTTTCAGCTAAAGCAGCTTCCACCTTCTCCAATCATCTCAAAATTTCCCCGAATCAACCTGATCTCTTACACAAGATTGGATTCACGCAATCCCAAATCAGCAATTTTCTTTCACAGAATCATCTCTTCTTGACGAATTCCAATTTGCAGGACATTGAAGCTTCTGTTGCCGTTCTTTTATCCTTCAAAATTCTCCCGAAGGATCTCGTTTCCATGGCGATCGACTGTCCTGCGGTTCTGGACTTGGAGTTTCTGAGGAAATGGGAGGCAAGTTTGTCCTTAATTGACTTACGCAATGTTTCTGCATTGATGATTCGGAGTATGCTGGTGTTATCTAAACGGTTTCAGCTGGATTCGTGTATTTTTATTACAACTGTAGATTTACTGAAACGTTTAGGGCTTAGTGATGCTACTGTGACTAGGGTTTTAGAGGATTACCCTGAAATAGTGTTCTCGAACGAGGAAGAAATCTTGCGAACGATTGAATTTCTGATAGGAATTGGAATTCGAAGGGGTGAAATTGATCGGATCATTTGTTCGATTCCCAAAGTTCTAGGATTTAGGGTTGATGGAAGATTGAAGAGTTTGATTGGTGAGTTCAATGAGTTGGGGTTTGATCAAAACGTGATTGTAAGAGAAATTGTCAGGGAACCGAGAATTTTAGCCACAGAATTAGGAGAAATTTCAAGGTGCCTCGAGTTGCTTAGCAATCTGAAATGCAGGAACTCAATCAAGGAGAAAATCTTTGGAGACTGTGCTTTAAGAGCAGCATTTGAAGTGAAACAGAGAGTTGATTGTTTATGTAAACATGGGCTGATTCGTACAGGGGCATTTAAATTGCTCTGGAAAGAACCGAGGTTGATCACTTACGAATTAGAGAACATTGAAAAGAAAATTGACTTCTTGACCCATAAGATGAAATTTGGTGTTGACTGTTTGATGGATGTTCCTGAATATCTGGGAATCAATTTCGAAAAACAGATTGTTCCTCGCTACCTTGTGATTGAATATTTGGAATCAAAAGGATGGCTTGGTTCTCAGGTTGGATTGAGGGAAATTATCAAGCCTAGCAGGCTCAGGTTCTATAACCTTTTTGTTAAGCCTTATCCAGAATGTGGGAAGATATTTGGGAAATTTGTAGGAGATAACGAAACGAAGAGCCCAAGTCGGCATCCTATTGGACTATGGAAGGTCTTCAAACCACAAAAACATCCAGAATCGAAAGAGGATACTAAAAACATGAAGTCGTTCATGGAATCTTTTGTTTAGATAAAGGCTTGGTAAGAAGGAAGAATGAGGGATCATCTGGTAACGGGAAGGCAGCAAATCAAGCAGATATATGGTGTACTCAAAGGTTCGAAGCAAATGATGACCTCAAGCGAGATCTTGTTGAATTTTGCGCCATGATCGAATCAAGTAAATATATGGTGGAGATGACAGTACCCCCAGAGGGAGATCTTGATAAATTTTGGACCGTGCAAACTGTCCTTATAACATTGTTGGTAAAAGCAGCAGAAGATTAGCCTACTGGACAACTGGGGGCTGAGATATTGGTCACTCTAATTGCTAAAGGCCTTTGTTACTGAAGAAAGCAACGGAGTCTGAGCTTTGGTTTTGTTAAGCTCTCCATTATTGGATGAAAACACGTTCAATTTTTCGTAAGCCGATGACTTCCTCATGGTGCAGTTCTTGTTGGATCTTGGATTTACACCGCTGCAAGCCATCAAGGCAGAACCCTGAAAGAATGTGGTTGGGATGGATGGTCAAACCTGGTAAGTTGAACCGACTCCGATAATATATTTGTTGAAGCTTTGAATTCATTTGTTCAAACATGCTGGTAGAAATAAGTATCATATTGTTCATTTTTGTTGAAGATCCATTATTTTCACAAGAGTTAGATGCTTTTGGTTTTTGACTTCTGAGTCACGTCCCTGCTACTAACAATGCTGTTGTTTTGTTTCTTTTTGTGCATAACCAGCATCATTCTAAATGCGGATGAACTACTTTATAATTGAGCATCACATCCCATCATTACTTTGATTACTAATTCAACCTCACAACACGGAATAAATCTCAAACTTCTGATGTCATTCCTAACATCTCACTCTCTAACACACATTCCTAACCACAAGCTTACTGCAGAGTTTTCTCTGATATCAGCACATTTCTACACTCTACTCAACAAAACTAAACAACGGAAATCGTGAATTAGAACACTCCAAATCCAATATTGAAGAACAAGGGATGAGCATCTGGCAGACGGGAGGAAGAAGAATCGATTCAACTGTTTCAGTTGGACCGGTTTGACCTAATTTTTACCGTTTTTTGAGTCAATTTCAACCATATTGATGTTTTATATGATTTTTAGGGCCTACTTGGCAGGTTTTGGAGAATTTAAAGGAGGAAAAGATTCAAATTTTTCTAGAAACAAGAATTAATTGAGGTAAGTGGCTAACTGGAAATTCTATTTGAGTTTTATCTTGTAGGATGAATCTTTTAATGAATTGAATTTATGCCTAAAATATGGTTGAAGCATGTTAAATGATTGATATCACGTTAAGATGCTTGATATATACCACGTGAGTTTATAAAATTGGAAGCAATGTTACGATGTTTAGTTATGCAATTTACAACACTCTTGATTCATATTATTGGCCTCATTATCAAGTTACCATGCGAGAATTATTAGGGTTTAGTCAACTAAATCTCTAATAGTGAACCCTTAACATTGTAGTAGTTGGCAACCCTTAGCCTCTTTTGGCGTTGATAAGCTTGGTGGAGCTATTCGAGTTGTAAATTAAATGTGTGTATGATTAATGGCCTAAGAGAGAGAATCCATGTTAACACCTATGAGAAACTCATAGACTAAACACGTGATATAAAGAATTTAAGCAAGATTGATAGCTACTTAAAAACAATAAGTGAGCTATTTACCGAATGTTTTTATACTAGTTCATGTTACTTTTCTTTTAAGATGGTACACAGGCCTATTTGATTAATTACAAAGGCGTTTTAGAATTGTGAAGCTATAGAGTTATATTTGTTCTAAGTCGTTGAGTAAACTTTAAAGCTTTTAGTTGTATAAATTATGTTGCATCGTGCAAATTATCATTTCAGCTTTAAATATAAATTTATTTATAAGATCCTTAATATTATTTAATGCTCTGCATTACTTGAATTTATAATAAACAAAATCGTTCGAATATTTTTTATCCTTAAGTTGTAGCTATCTTATAAGTGAGAAAAGTCGGACATATTTATTTATCTTCATCCAAAAAAAAAAAAAATTATAAATTTCTATTGCTAATTGACAAAATTGAAACCTTTATTTTTCCAATATGATTAAATTTTAATAGTTTTATTTGTATATAATACGTATATTTCATTTTATTTGGTTATAAGAAAAAAAATACAATCAAATAAGATTTAATTCATTAAAGTTAAACATATTATTTAAAATAAAATATATATATTAAGAAAACAAATAAAATGAATGTTTATTTATTTATTTATTCATTGAGACAATTTTATAGTTTAATTTTGAAAATGGAAACAATAATTTCTTTTTATCCACTCCTAATTTTTGTACCATGCAAAATTATGCTTTTCCCAATTTTATATAAATAAATAATATTTTTATTCGATTATTGCAATTAATTTCAACACGTTTAAATTAGTTTTTTTTATATAATTAATTTATTTTTATTAGGTCAAATTATTAAAATAATATTAACAGTTAAATTTTAATTTAATTTTCATTCTTCTATAAATACTAATTTTAAATATACAAACCCCAGTAGCCACACGGTAAATTCACTTCTAACCACAATTACTCTAGTAAAACCCGGTAAATTTTCACCCATCAAAATAGGCACAATATTTTAGTAAATTTTCACCCACAGTATTTAAATATAATTTAATTAATTTTTGCTTAGTGAGCAAGTTTAGGGGAAAACTATTTATAGTAATAAAAATAATTAAAATAATGATATTTCAAAATAATAAAAATAACCTATTTATACTATTAATTAAAGAAAATAAACTTATTTTATCTTAATAAAACATAATTAAAATGATAATATATCATTACTTTAAGTCATAAATTCAAATAATATAATTTATAATCATAATGTAAATAAAATAACCGATACTAAGCTCTTCAAATTATTGTAATTTAAATTATAAATTCAAATTATCAATATTTAAGATATAATAATTATTATCTAATTCATTAAGCTAAATATATTTTTTTTAACCCTAGAGAGAGAAAATTTGAGGGAGGTAAAAAAAGGTGAAAAAGTGGCGAAGCCGCCAAAAGTAACTGTTTTTTTTTTTAATTACAAAAAAAAATCTAAAAAATGGCTTAGACCGACGGAAAAACTACATGTTCGGGTTCGATTCCACTCGGTTTTCATTTAAGAAAAAAAAATTAACTATTTCGATCGATTTTTGGATTATTACCGTCACATCTTAGTAGTAAGTCTAGAGATTATTTGGCTTTAATACTTATAAATCAACGGGTTCGACTCGGGTTTTTATTTTTTTCGTTATATTTGTGCGGTTCGATGACGATTCTACCCTCGAACCAAACCCTATGTACACCCCTATCAAAACCCTAAACCTAGATAATAACTAACAACACAATAGAGAGAGAGAAAGAGGAGAGAGAGAGAGAATCGTGGGTTAAGAAGTTGGGGGTTTCACGGAGATTAATTAGCTACTAATTACCCTTCTCTCTATAACTGATTCCTCATTAATCTCATCTCTCTCTCTCTTATAATCCAAAATTAACAAACAAAAACAAAAACAAAAACACTGTCAGAGTTTCAAGTTAGTTTGTTCAGTTTCTTGTCCAAATTCCTTCCTTTTCTTACTCTCTTCCTCTTCAATGGCGGCTCTTAGCTTTTACTCCAATTTCTCCTCTGACCCTTCTTCTTATCATCACCAATTCCACCCTTTTTCCCCTGAAATCTCACCGGAGCTTTTCCACCTTCCTCCGCCGCAGCTCCTCCCCGACCCCACCTTCGATTACCTCCCTGCTGCCGTCGATCACTCTGTCTTTTTCCCGACTGCTACTGCTCCGTTCTTCGATGACGTCTCGCCGTTTGTCTTTTCCGATGTTTACCCCTACTTCCCGACTCCTGCCGTTGATGAATTCGTCCCGGTCTCGGCTGAATTCTTCCCTTGTGATGAATTTGAGTTTTATTGCCCCAAACGCCAGAGGGTCGTGATGGAACAGAGTTTTTGTTATGGCGGCGGCGGCGGTAATGTAGGTGGCGAAGGAGGTTATTTTCCTCTGCCGGAGTTTTTTTCCGATCAGTGGGATGGTAGATTGGGCAATGCTGAAATGATGAATAAGGGTGATTGCTTGAAAGGTACACCGACCTTGGTGCCGTTGCCGTTGCCATCGCCGTCGCCGTCGAGTAATAACTTATCGGCGCAGACGATTGCGGCCAGGGAACGGCGGAGAAAGATAACAGCGAAGACGCAGGAGCTTGGCGAGCTGGTTCCTGGCGGCAGCAAGATGAACACTGCTGAAATGTTGAGTTCTGCTTTCAAATATGTGAAATTCTTGCAAGCCCAAGTCGCCATTTTGCAAGTGAAGCAAGAAACAGAGCAAGAACAAGAACAAACAGAAACAGAGGATCTTCAGATTCTTGAATCGACAATGATTCAAGAGAAATTGTACGCAGAAGAAAAGTGTTTGGTTCCAAAAGGGTTCGTCCAAAATCTTGCAAATTCCTCTGAGATTCAATCCAATCCGTCCATTTTGAACTCCATCAATCAGATTCTTCACACGAACAGCAGCTAGAAAAACAGAGGAAGCTTGTTCATCATTTTGTCTTGTTCTTTGTTGTTGTTATAGCTAATCTAAGTTTCTAAGAGGTTTCTTTTTGTACTTAAAACACTTTACTTTAGAGTTTAGAGTTTAGTTTCGATTAGATGCTAACCTCATGATGATCATTAACTGTTCTTTGTAGAACTTTTTCAATTGATTAAAAGAAACCCCTTTTCATTTCTTGGAAATTTTCTCACTCCATTGCTCTAAACAGCTTATTTTCAGGTTTTTCTGTAAGATTTTCTCGGTTTCCAAACACCCATTTCTCTGTTTTACAAGCAGCAGATGGAAGATTCTGCTAGAACTCTCATTTGCTCTGTTTCTCGAGAAAATATTAAATGATCCCGAGAAAAATTAGCAGGAGTTCTAATTATTATGATTTTCTTGGTTGCCAAACACCATTTCTCTGTTTTACAAGCAGGAGATGGAAGATTCTGCTAAAACTGCCATTCCTCGTATGCCACATGCTCTGCTTCTCGAGAAAATATCAAATTTTCCCGAAAAAAATTAACAGGAGTTCGTAATTATTAAGATTTTCTCGGTTGCCAAACACCCATTTCTCTGTTTTCCAAGCAGCAGATGGAAGCTTCTGCTAAAACTGCCATAAATCGTACGCCCGATGCTCTGTTTCTCGAGAAAATTTTCTCGACAAGAGTAAAACAGGAGTCCGTAATTATTAAGATTTTCTCGGTTGCCAAACACACACCCATTTCTCTGTTTTACAAGCAGGAAAAGGAAGATTCTGCTAAAATTGCCATTTGCTCTGTTTCTCGAGAAAATATCAAATTTTCCCGAGAAAAACAGGAGTTCGTGATTATTAAGGTAATTGTATCGTGATTATAATATCTAGACAAAGATTTAAGGAAATCCCAATAAGAAAATGTTTTTTTTTTTTTCTTTTTCTTCTCCAACATAACCGTCGTAGCCACCGAAAATGGCGGCTTCCACTTTCTACTTGATCACTAACAGTCGAAAATTTAGGGTAACAGTTACAAAGATTCCGCAAAAAATTCATGTCTTTTCTTAAATATCCCAAAAACTCAAACCTTAATATCTCAGAATCATCAATGGCGGCCATGTCTGCAAATATTTCATTTTCTTCCCCCCTTAACAATGGCGGTTTCAACTCCACAGTCTTCAACAACTGTCTTTTAAACCCTTTTCTTCGTTACTACTCTGCTTCTCCATTGAGCCATTGATAAAAAAATATATCTAAAATATTAAAATTTTCAATTACATCTTTAATTTTTTTAAAAAAAATTAAAAAAACATCTTTTTTTAATTTCAAAAATATTTTTAAATCTTAAAAAAGTTGAATGTACCTTCAGTATTATATTTAAAATGTAGTCATTAAATTTTAAAGGTTATTAACACCAATCTTTGCATAATTCATCGAAAATTTATTTATAATTAAATAAATTATGGAAATAACTATAAATAAAAAAATATGATAAGAAGATATTTGTCTTTTAATAAAATATTAAATAGTATATATATATATATAGATATATATATATATAATAAACTATAATTTAGTATTAAATACCTTAAACATATTTATAAAAAAATTAAGGTAATTTTAATTTTAAATATTTTTATTTTTGAAACTACTCATTGAGACGAGGCCTTTTGAAAAAAGAGAGAATAATATCATACTATTATAGAGAGGCGTGTTCGTCTAAC